ATAAACCAGGTAAAAAAATTGAGGACACAAATTGGTAGTAGAGCTTTCACTTTTTTCCAGACAAAACAAATACTAGTGGAACTTGGAAAGTGAATTTCAAACCACAACTTTCTCAAAAGGAAAGACTTCAGGGTTTTTTTAAGAGAAAAAAATAATGCTTCTATGAGAAATATTTGCCAGGGGCAAACTCCATCTTCACAGTGTTCTGGCATCACTGGGGACTAGGCAAATTTCTGGTTTTCCGATACAAAATCCTTAAAGGGATTTCAGACAAGAAAGGCAGAAATATCAGTGCCAAGACTTCCTTCCATCATTGAAACTGCTCCTGATGGCAAACAGTCCAGTAAGGGAAAAAAGAAGCCTATCACCACACACCTCACCAAAACTTGAACCAAATGACTTAGAGATTGACCACTTGCTTGACTTTGACCACTTGACAAGTCAAAGCAAATACATGAAACAAAATAACTTCTTTCATATTAGTAAACCCCTACAAACAGACCAGTTTACCAGAACTTGTGATTTCTGGCTCAGAAGACAGTAGAGGAAAACATGTGGAAGAAAACTGGCTTTCTTTTGTTTTCTGTTGCTAACTTGGATTTACCAATACATTTCCGTATTGGAACTATAAATCAAGGTGTAGACCTCCCCTTGCTTTGACCCCACCATAGAGCTATTTGGGCTGGATGAAGAAATGTTACAAAGAAAAACTACATTTACCTAGTGAAAACATCAACATTTGTTATACTTTATGACTCAAATAAAACTTAGTAGCGTATTAGTAGAACCAGATATATGGTAGAGCTATTATAGGTTATTAACAAACATTACGGTTGCTTCATACAGTCTTTTTCCTTATTTTTCTTCTCTGTCTTTAACACTAACCTACATTTTCTTCCAACTAATCTAAGATCCACTACACAAAACAAAACACACTGTATTTCCTGCTGCTGATTTTGCAGCATTTAATAGCATAATATTAAGTTTTGTACAATTACTCTGTTAACAATGTAGCTACTTTAAAGGAAAACTCAGGAAAGCATACAAACACTTTACATAAAGTGTAATTCTTTATCATACCATCTGAGAGAGTGGTTTCCTTGGGATCTTTTTGACAATTAGAGCAACAAACTTCTGTTTCATGAAAATAAGAAGAAAAGAAAAAAAAAAACCACCACAACAAAAAACTCCCAAACAAACCCGAAAACTTAGTACTCAAGTAGATCTTCCAGATCCACCGCAGCCAAAGAGACTGGTGGTTTCATTCACGGTCCCTGCAGGACTGTCTGAGCGTAAGACATTCCAAAAAGGGACAAAGGAAATTGAGATTATCCTGCAAAGTTTTGCTAACAAACCACACAGGAACGCATCATTAGTTTCATCTCCTCCTGATAGCCACTTTTAACATGCCAAGACAACCAAGAAGTGGATCACAATTGATGTGATGAAAACTAGCTCGTTTCTTGATGTACAAGGTCACTTTTCTAATAAATATTGCCAACTTCAGAAAAATATTCCAGTAGCTTTTAAGAGCTCTGAAAAATGACACAGTACAAGAACTGGTTAAAAAGCAAAGATCTTTACTGACTGAAGAGATCAATGCTATTTGGTACTGTAATTTGCAAAGCCTACACAATTGTATACAGCAAGTGTATGCATGAGCCAGGGCACGGGTGATGTCTTTGGGCACTTAATTTCTACAATTCCATGTTAAGTAGTAAAAGGAGCAGAAAGACTTTGAGAGCACAATACATTTGTTCTCAAAAGCAAGTAAGAAACACGTAAAAAGAAAGAAACTGTCAGTGACTTCTTGTTCACTCTTACTTAGATATCACAGCTACAGTTCCTCCCAGCATCTCCCTCAAGTTCCAGTGCAGACAACCCTGAAGACTTCAACAAATCACCTTCCCAGAAACTGCCAATTTACCAGCCACCAAGGGAAAATATAAATAGACGATTAATCAGATGGACCTATCCAGGAGGATAAGTCAACTAACTGTAATGACAGCACCAAGCTTCCTGTAAAAGGAAAGGGGAAAGGGAGAGCTCCTTCTCTATGTATCCAAGAACGATAGCAATGCCATAGAAACCATGTAAAAAAATCAATGCAATGCAGTCACTGAGCTGGGAGCTGAAGACCAGCTCTAAGCAAAGGTGAGACATTAAATCATTTGGAACTACTTTTGGTAAAATGTCATGATTGAATTACAAATCCTACCTTAGTTTGATTTTTCTTCAATAAATTAATCAGAGTAATTGTGTTATCCCTTTCTGGGTCTTTAAATGCATACCATCCCTCCCAGGTAAGTACATTTGTAATAAGGTTTAGAACTCCACTGAGTAATTCTTCTTCTGTTAAAGCTCAAAATGAAATAATGATGTTTCAACGTGATGTACGTTATATAACTGGAAATTTTCATTACCAAGACTAACTTATAGACTGCCCATCAGAAAAGTATCAGATACCTCTACACCTATATTATGGTACCGCATGTCCGTACAAATGTGAAATATGTAAGGATCTCATACCTAAACAACAGGGCAACAACTCCTGTTCCTCATCCCTTGCTCTCTAATAGCCCGTGTTGTCAATAAAGTTTGGCTTCTACAAACCGAAGACCTTATCATTACTCAAAACGATCTGGAAGCAATACTAAAGCCATGACAAAGTAAATTGTGTTTCATCGTTTTTTTTCCCCTCCTCTGGCTGTGAGAACACACAGATCGATACTCTTCAGCACGAGAATTCTGCAGCAAAATTTTCATTTGTTACAAACAGCAACAAAAAGGCCCCAAGCATGCCCTGTCACTTCCAGTTTAGAAGGAAACACACTAATAAACTCTTCCCCCTGGGTCATCTTTGACAATGGGCAATACTATGCCAGCTCTTATTAAAGGCAATTCGTATCAGTGGCCCAAAAATTTCCTTTAAAATTATCATCTTTTGTATCCATGTAGCAGGATGTCAGCTTTAAAGTGCCACTGAGATATAGGACCTGTCATTATGGTTAATTTTCAGTACAGTTTTAACACCAGGGTAGCTGATCCCTAAGGGTATGCTTTTTTGGCTAACAAGATTTATTTAGCGGTTATCCAGACAAACAAGAAAATATATTACTGTATATTGCTTTTCAAATATAACAGCAAGCAATAAATCCTACTATAAAATATAAATCTTTTTTCTATACCACAATGTCAAATGGATGAAAATGTTTTTAGAAGATTAATATTTTTCTTTTATTTTTTTTCTTTAAATTATATATATTAAAAAAAAAAAACTTAAAATTCTTGGGTTTCCACTGCAAAAAGCACAAAAAAAGTAAAATGAACTTTAAAATATGAAACCTATATAACCATTGTATATATAGCTAGATATCTATCAAGTTTATGTTTCAAGACATAAAGATGGTATTCTCTATCAGATGACCCAAGCAGAACAATATGCTGCACTGAAAAAGAGAGTACTATGAAGTTTGATACTGTTATCTCATTTTTTTCAGAGAAATAGCGGTTTAAACGCTATTTTATTGCTCTATTAAAATAGAAAAAAAAATAGAAAATTTCATTTATTGGATAAATACATCCATTTGCCCTGCTTTTCTAACAACAAAACAGAAAGTTTGTTTTCATGTTGTAACCAGCCTAATTTCATTGTACTAGGATGAAGACCATCTTGCACTTTGCTAGACAAAAGGTACATCTACAGAATAAAAAGCTGTTAACATATTGTCTAAATCCTCATATGGTCAGCAAAGCCCATTTTTATTGATGTTATATAGAAGGCATAAAACCTAGTTGACCTCAATCAACTGGTCTTGCAGGGAAAAGACCTCTGCCAGTAAATGCCAGGTACCAAATATCTTAAAGTGTTTCCTATGCTACTTTTATTTCTACAAGCTGAGGACGATCTTGCTTTCCCTGTCCCGGCTCCAGACGCAGTGGCTGACTCCCAGATGCCGACGGACCAAACTGCCGACTGCTGGCCCAACGAGTCAAGCAAGAGCCCGTCATGCACCCAACCCCTGCACTTGCCTGACCAAAACAGACCCCACACCAGGCAGCAGCACCACAAGCAGATTCTGTACACCACTGCTTTTTCTCACTTCAAAAACATTAAGCCTCATCACGACTACGAATGAAATGGGCAATTTCACAGGCGACACAACTAGGCAAGGAGAGACTTTAAAGGTTGGACTTGATGATCTTAAAGGTCTTTTCCAACCTAAACGATTCCATGATTCTATGACTTCATAGCTTATCCCAGGCCAAACAGCAAGTGACTTTTGGAAGCAAAAACTGCACTCCTATATTCAACCATATCCTTCGCCAGCCAGATGACATGCTTCCAGAACACAAAATACAAAAATAAATCACCAATCCGACATTGCCACACGCAAATTATGGTTGCACCCCAGACAGGCTTCTGAATGAATTGCAACGAAGTAGTATTTCAAGTAGAAAAAGGCAAGTTTTTCATATTCTTCCTCCTACTTCAGAAGTTGGAAATCATCACAGAACATTTCCATAATGCTCTCAGTCCTTGGGTAGGTGAAAGTTTACAACTATTTTTATATACCTGTCTTCCAGGTAACAGAACAATGCATTATTATTTGCTGTACTACCAGTCTGCTCAAGGCAACGGGTTTTAAAAGGGAATGTTAACTAACTACAGTGGATTCTCTCATACCTGTAAAAATATTTATGAAAACTTAAGCCGTTTTCACCTTAAGTTAAACAAATAGCATTCACAGAAAAGCATACAGGCACGTTAAAGACACTGCAAGATCAGGGTTTTTACACACACGTGGAATACGGAAAGGAATTGCAAGAAGTTTTGCAAACTAGTCCTTCATTTTACAGCAATTTCAGAAGCCTTATGGGGCTATCTTTGTATGACCGTTTCAAATCAAGGCACCTGTAAGCTAAGTAAAAGGTACAAGTAGAAAGCACTGGTATTAAGAGCATTTAAATGGATAAAATGAAAGCAATTAAAACTTTACCTCGAACAATAAGTTGAGCAAAATTTGACACTCCCGAACCTCTCTCTGACTGAGTCACACAACGGTACAAATCCTGGTCAGTTTTTGTCACCTCTTGCAACTTAAAGGTAGCAGCAAATCTTCTGTGATTGATATTTTTAGTCTGAGCAACTGGAATATCTTCCCCATTTCTTCTCTGAAAATAAGAGAAACCAAGGCAGAGTTAGGTCATAAGAATACAGAAGACATTTAGCACGATCATCACACAAAGAGTACATAAATACACCAAATGCATTCGCCTTGTGCTGCATTTCCATGGTAGAAGAGCTCAGTGCTGAGGTCCCATCAAGGGACAAGCAGTACTCAAAAGCATTTTAGAATCAGCTTTGGGGTTGAAAAGCACCATCAGACTTTCGCGCCCCCACAAAACATGACCATGCCATACTCGAACTGCTTCTGCTTCATAGCTGGAACCACAGGAGAGCCCAGCACTAGCAGTTGTACCCCTAAGAAAATTCATTCCACTTTAAATAAAATTATAACAGAAACATTGGGTGTATTATAAGAAATCTTTATACAAACATGGCATTGAGGGGTTTCATAGGTTTTCAACAGCTCTTTTTCAGCAACCAGCTAATGTTTCCTTTTTAATGCTCCCTTTTATCTGCCCAAATTCAATATGTTCTAAAATTGTACCTTTGTTATACTAAGCACCACCTATCTACGTAAAGCTAGTTAAAATAAAAAGGGGAGGGAAGGAAGCTGCAAAAAGAGGAATGCTGTTTATCTCATTTAAAGGAAGGAGCTTAAAGAGTTCTGAAAAAATCACAGCTACCACAAATCACTGAAAAATGTAATCTGTCTGAAGCTGTGGGGCAGGGCTAGAGGTCAGTAAGGTAGAAACAGTTTGAGCTCTTTTGTGACCCTTCTTCCTTATTCCCATTCATATTAAATGGTCAATTTTGATTTTAATCGAAGAACAGACCCTCCACCAAAAGTTAGCACTAAAAAAGAAAGAAACAAAACAAAAGAAAAAGAACAAACCCAGAAACACGCACCAAGCAAACAAACAATGTTCCTGCTCTCTCCCATGGACCAACCACGTGTTATTGCCCAACTGGGATACCGCTTCTGAGCACTCGGCTTTGCTCAGTCACCAGAAAGACATCATCATTTCCTTGTAACTGCATCGCCTGCTCTGCTCGATACGTAGCAAAACGTGACCTCCATGGACATTTTTAGCTCTAATCAACCCCCGCAATGAGAAACTTCACTGAGTTCTAAACCCCCGAGCTTTCTGTCTAACACAAGGAGCGGCACTGCTCAGCCACAAAATTTAATAACCTGAAAACCCGTGGCAAAAATAGAAAGGGGAGACAAGGGAAATGAGTTGATGCCGCACGTGTGTATTAGCTGGCTTCCCGTCACAGGTGGGAATTCTTCACAAAGCTCCAATGCTCCATCCACCCTGCGTGATCTTGGCACGGGTTAGTCACTCGCTGAACAGTTTTGCGGTAGCTTAGCCAGCACTGCTTCAAACTCACTGAAACAAGTATTCACTTCAACTATTAATATGTTTAAACATGAATTTTAGCTTCTGCCACCTTTCTTGCAGCAGTCAAAGCACCCATCCCACATTTCACTGAAAGCCTTGGGTGAAAACGTTCATTTATACCAACCTGGCAGATTTCAGCCGCTGGTACTCCACTACAAAGACCACGCCATCGCCTTCACCACCAGCAGGTTTATTGGTGTGACTCTTCCTCCTTTCATGAAGACACCACCCGTTTTTTCCCCCCTAGCCACCCTCTTTGCCGTTACACCAGAGGCACCTCTTTGCTGCTACCCAGGGGTAAGCTCAGCCTGCAGGGCCGGGCCAGAAAGTGCAGTGAGATGCAAAGGGTGAAACCAGATCTCCAAAAGGAGATGGCACACAAGACACTTGCAGAAGGTACTCGCACTGCTTCTCCCTAAACCAGTCACCATCCCACAACCACCAAAAGCCTGCTTATCATGTGGATGCTCTCCGACAGGGTGCTCACAGGGCAAAAGCAATGGAGGTTGGGTACTTGGAAACCTGGATCCACCGCAGCGCAGCCGAGCTGCCCTGCGGCAGGCACCGGCTCCCTCCTCAGCTCTGCAAGTATCTGCCTCCTATTAAGAAGAATTAAGGATGTTTGCTGATGCCTGCAAAGACTCCTACAAATGAAAGGCCTTATTGAACTTCAGGGATCAATGAAATTATTAAATTCCAATATCACACAAACGAGGGGTGGTGTTTAAGGCTTTATTTTGGTGCTGCTTAAGCTACAGTAAAGTTATTTTGTGGGAGGTGCACAGCCCCCTCTTGTTAGCTGGCTTCTCCTGATAGCAAAAGCTAAATCCGAAAGCAGGACTTCCAAGCTACTTTCCCCCTGGCCTCCGTTTCGACTCTCTGGAATGATAACTTAATATAAAATTTGGACCTAGTGCCTTAAAGTAACCAAACGTCATGGCACTTTCTTCCTCTCATGCTTGTCCGTGCCCTCCCATCCCACAGCACGCATTCCCATTGCCACAACATAACCAGTCAGCAAAGGGAAGTCGAGCTCCCCCGCTAACCACAAACTTGCCACGCAATTGTTAAAATGACCAAGCAGCATATAATAAACAGAAGGCATATTTTTAAAAATTTTACCATAGCAGGCTTTACAAGTAACCCATGTAAGCAGCCTTTCTTGCTCTGCTATGAAGGGAAAAATAAGTAGCAGAGTTTTCTAAAATGAAGGACTCCCTTCAGTAAGTCTGTGGCTTCAAATCTGAATGCCAAGCACTCAGTCTGCAGCAGAGAAGCATATCCAGGCTTGCTGTGTAAAATAATTTACCCTCCGAAGCTCAGAATTTGCTTATTTCAGCTGGTCTGCATGCTTCACGTTAGAGAAACTAAGCGAATTGGGCTCCTACTTAAAATGAAATATTAATGCACTTTCAGAGCAATTAATCAAAATGAAATTTAACAAGCTTTACAGTTCTACTCCAGCAACAAAACCTAGGATTTTCTTTTCTGTTTACATCAGTGATTTCCTACCACTTTGTCTTACAAGGCTTAGAGTAGTTGCTCAAATTTCTCTGTATTAGGGCTTGTTTCTTGGGAATCCAACTCCACAACTACATCTTCGAATTCTATCTTCACATACAGCTTATCCATTAAAATATTTTCCCTTCATTAAAATGATGAAAAGTTCAAACAGAAGAGAGTTCTCACTTAAAAATGAACGCTAAAGAAAATACCCTGCATTCATTTCAGCGCGTATCCCTTACACCGGTAAGCCATTAGCCAGTCAGAGTTCAGATGCACTGCCACGATCTCTTAATTAAATTCTTCTTTTTAATGTCAGGGCATTACTACTGATTTTAAAGGAGAGGAAAGAAAGGCAGCAGTGCTCTCTGCTTATTAGAGGGTTCCTGGTACATACTGTTTCAATTTATGTCCTGCTCACACTGAACAGAGCTTGAAAATGCTGCTCAATTAGGTTTTAAAAATTCAATTTAAAATTAATGTGGAGTTATACTAATAGGTAATGGCTGTACCCTGTGAGATCCTTGGTTCCTCCAGTCCCTTGCTGTCTGATTTGATAACCCTGAATTGCTCATTTAGGAGAGGTCACCACCAAGCAGTTCTCCTCCTTTTGTGAAAATAACTCTGGGCTGCACAAAGAAGGACGCTCTATAAACACTTGATTAAAAGAAATATAAGCGTGTGGAAAAACCTCCTTAATGCTGGCATTTCAGGCATTTAAAATCATGACCTAAGTCTCTGTGACTTCAAGGTTATTTTTAATTTGATAGGAACATGATTTTTTTTTCCCCCCAGGCAATGAAATGAGATCATCTGTATTTTAAACAAAGTCAACAGTAAAGTCTATGCAGCTTAAAAAACAATCACAGGCAAATTAACAATTAGCCTTATACGTCTCTTTTCTGTCTCATGGAAGAAATCAAGCATTTAATAAACATGAAATGAAATTTTAGCGGAGTTTCCAGAACCTGAATGGAACCAGAAGCATCTAAACCCCAACATCTTATTTAAGTGGTAGAATTTAGGTGAATTTCTAATCTTCTAACACAAATTTAAAACTTACCTGCATTTCTCTCTCAGCTTTTCAGGTTGAAAAGTGGTGGGGTTTGGTTTTTTTGTTTAAATAGCAATAAGATAATGTAACTTTCTGCGGTGATATTCCCTCTAAATTTTCCTGAACTCTTTTTTTTCCATACCAGTGATTTTTATCAGCCTGGACAGCTCAACCTTACACATCCCTGTCCCTTCCTTAGTGTAAACACCTTAAAATAAGTCCGCTCCACCGCTAATAATTACAGTCAACTCTGGTTGCCTTCTCAGGCTCTCGGCTGGATGCCGGGATGTCTCCAGAGATCAGAAGATGTCAACGCTTTGGCTGCAGTGACACCCGCGTTACTCTGGCAGCAGTGCCCGCTTCAGCTGGCCCCCATCGCTCCCTCCTCGCCTTCTTCACTCCTGTGCTCATACAGAAAACTGACCTGGAATTAAAAAAAAACCCCTTCCTGGAAAACGTATTCCCTCCCCACATATTATCATCACCAAACAGATTAGCTCCTGATCGGATTCACCGTGCAGCCACAGGGAGCGGAGGAGAGAGGGGGATCTGTGCAGGGAGCAGGGCGCAAAGGCGAGGGTTTGTCTGAGGAACTCCGTCCCCGAAGGTGCAATCAAAACTTCACCAGACAGCAGAAGGGCTGGAAGGATGCCCCCAGCAGCCCAGGGAATTGCACCTCTGCTGCCCCGAGGAAAAGGGAATTTGTAAAGAACGTGCTCCAAAACGTTCCTGATTTTACCCATTGTGTAAAGGGAGAAATGACATTTTTTCTGAAGAGGGAAAAAGGTTGAATGTGGATAGTTTGAATGCCAGTGATAACACGTGATCTCTGCCAAAAGATGTTTTCAAAAAATAAAACAACGTGAGGGGAATAACCGATACAAATAACTATACTTTTAACATATTACTTACATGTAGCTGTCTGGCACTCTTCAGCACACACAGCATATGCTTTTACAGCATTTAGAATACAAATTCCAAACGGAGAAAAATCTATCTTTCTAAAAAAATCTCTTTATTATTATTTTTATTCCTTTACACAAATGTCTCAATTTATTATCTTCTTAGAATACAAGAAGGTGAA